CATCCTGTATTTTTGGTTTGGGCCGTAAGCCTCAGTGCGAGCGGAAGAAACTTATTATCCTGTGGGGATCTGCTCCTGTCTCTATTCTCCTGTGGGAAGCTTTTTCGTTGTAGTTTTTGTGGTTTGTTGTGTAGCAGTTTCGTGAATCTTCTTTTCGGTTTCTAGCGTTGCTAGCGTCGGGATTCTATGCGGTCGTCAGACATGTCCTCCCATTTTATTCAGCTTTTGGTTGTCTTATTCAACTAGGAGTTGTATCTTTGCACATTTGTGCGTTTTTTTTATATAATATTCTTTATCGTTCTGAAAAAAAAAACACAATGACACAAGTATAAATTATTTAGCCTACATATATATCACTACTGGTTGCAATAGTGTAATTTTAAAAATTTAGAGTGATTATGATCAATTAATTAGATAAAAAATACTAAAATTATTATTATATAATTTTTTAACAAAATTTTAAGTGGTTTGGTTATGTCATAAAATAAATTAACTAATTTTAATAAAAAATGCTTAAGGATTTAAAAATAAATATATAAATAATTTTAAAAAATAGAATTTTTGATATGCATAGACATTCATATATCATTTAGTGTGACTTATATATAATTACTATTAGTTATTATGTAATAAAAAAAATACTAGGACAACACTCCTATATTACACGGGTGCTTGTTAAAAAGTATTCTTAAATTTTAAAATTGATGATAAAAATTATTTTAAATTTTATTTAATTTTGTATAAAAAATATTTATTATTATATATTTTAGAATGACACTTGATACTTGTGTGATATACTATAATAATTTTTATAACTTATATCATATAACTATTTGAAATATAAATATAATAAATAATAAATAATTTTATTTTTCTAATTAATATTAAAACACATTGTATTATTGTTATAAATATAATTTAATTTATTTTTTATACATACAATATGAATGTTAAATCAAAGCTCATCAAGAGATGATTAATTTGATATATTATATATGTAAAACTGATAAAAAAATACAAAAGTTATTAACTTTTAAAATACATTTATAATTCAATGGTTAATAAGAAATATATTAAAATGCAATTAATACATGTAAAATGACCATAAATAATCAATATATTTATAGATAATTCGGACCTAATTACATTTGGATTTGAAGTAAATTAAAATCTACCCATGCCTAATAACGAAACATGTAATTTGCCACATAGGATCACAAAGCATGCGAGTATGTCACTTTGGCTCAGTACGTTTTGAATCAATATATAAGGGGAGGGAGATAAATATAATTATTTACTAATGCAAAATATAATAGTTTCTTTTTAAAATTAGTTTTTTTTTTTTTTTTGGAATAGAACGGTAACGCCGATACAAGCTAAGCCAACGAATAATGAGCAGGTTTTAAAATTAGTTTTTTTTATTTAGTTGAATAATGAGCAGGTTTTATATCTGCTTTAAATTTTCTCCTTATAATTGTATATATAGACATATAAGTATAATCATAACGGTTATAACATTTATATAGGAGACATTAAATATTATTATTATTATATTACTACTACTATTGGAGACTATGAAATTTATTTAAATGAATGCATTAAAAAATAAAAACAAACAATTTCTTATGCAACAATAAATTGTAATTTATATGAACAATTTTTCTTTTTTTTTAATACCTAAAATGTTTGGTAGAATAATTTATATTCATTCTATTTAAGGAATATATAGATTAAAGGATAGAATTAATAAATGAGCGGTTACAACCATAACAATTAACTTCAACATTAGTATGCTTGCATATCAATTACAAAACTAAGCTACCATACATAATGAAAAAAAGAGTGGAAAATAAAAATTTTGCATTGATTTGATAGCCCCTAATTATATACAGAGAGAGATTGTTTACATTTTAATCGTTTTTTATTAGATGTTACCAAAATGTTGGAAATACCATGTGACAGAATAAAAACATTACAATATGTATAAAATTAGTAATCATGCAAAAAACGTTACCATATTCATAAAGTAACCCAAAAAAAAAAAAAAAAAAAAAAAAAAAAAAAAAAAAAAAAAAAAAAAACTTACCGAGCTGAAAATGGATTAGGATGGGAGAATAAAGGCTATTGCACTACTGTAAGAGCCTACACTTATAACTAGTAATTAAGTCTGCGCACACGCACGATACAAAGCAAATATTATATATTGTAAAATATAATGAATAATGTATTTATCAATTATCTTCGCATGTATCTCCTATAACTTTTCGCATTAATATTTTAGACTTTATCAATTATCTTCGCATGTCTGTCGTGTAACTTTTCGCATAATATTATCGCACTGTATAAATTATCTTTGCATGTCTGTCACATAACTTTTCACATCAATTATCTTCGTCTTTCTTTCGCATAGTTTATCGTTTAATTATTTCGCACTTTGTCAATTATGTTCGCCTGTTTGTCGCATAGTTTTTCGCATAACTATTTCGCATGTTTTTCAATTCTCTTCGTATGTCTGCCGCCCAACTTTTCGTATAAATATTTCACACTTTATCAATTATATTCGTCTGTATGCCGCTAGCTTTTCGCATAATATTTTCACAGTTTATCAATCATCTCCGTCGGTCTGTTGCATAGCGCATCAATTATCTTAGTCTGTCCGTTGAATAACTATTTCACACTTTATCAATTATGTTCGCCTGTTTATCGAATAGTTTATCGCGTAACTATTTCGTACTTTATCAATTATCTTCGTCAGACTTTCGCATAGCTTATCACATAATATTTCCGCAGTTTATCAATCAACTTCGCATGTTTGTCACATAGCTTTTCGCATCAACTATCTTCGCATGTCTGTCGCATAATTTATTGCATAATTGTTTCCCACTTTATCGATTATGTTCACGTTTCGTATAAATATTTCACATTTTATCAATTATATTCGTCTGTATGCCGCTAGCTTTTCGCATAATATTTTCACAGTTTATCAATCATCTTCGTCGGTCTGTTGCATAGCGCATCAATTATCTTAGTCTGTCCGTTGAATAACTATTTCACACTTTATCAATTATGTTCGCCTGTTTGTCGAATAGTTTATCGCGTAACTATTTCGTACTTTATCAATTATTTTCGTCAGACTTTCGCATAGCTTATCACATAATATTTCCGCAGTTTATCAATCAACTTCGCATGTTTGTCACATAGCTTTTCGCATCAATTATCTTCGCATGTCTGTCGCATAATTTATTGCATAATTGTTTCCCACTTTATCGATTATGTTCACCTGTTTGTCTCATAGTTTATGGCATCAATATTTCACACTTTATTAATTATTTTTTTCTGCATGTCGCATAGCTTTTCACATAAATATTTCGCATTTTATCAATTATCTTCATCTTTCCGTCGCATAACTTTTTCGAATCACATTTTCGCACTTTATCAATTATCGTCGCATGCAGTTTTTAGCATCAATTATCTTCGTCCGTCGCATAATTTATCGCATAATTGTTTCGCGCTTTATCAACTATGTTTGCTTGTTTATCGCATATCACATAACTATTTTGCACTTTATCTAATTATCTTCGCATGTCTGTCGCATAACGTTCCGCATAAATATTTTGCACTTAATCAATTATCTGCGCATGTTTGTCGCAAAGTTTATCGCTTAACTTGTTTAACACTTTGTAGGGTGCAATATTAACTTACTATTTACCAGTCTAAAGAATTTATTTGATATTTACTTATTCCGAGGGTGAGAATAGTTATTTCTTGCATATATTTTGGCTCCTTTTACTTACCACGATAAGATGAGATAATATTCTTTAACCAATCTTATATGGTGTTTACTAGCCGAGATCGGGATTGATATAAATTCTATGTGTCATGTATGTGGTAGGTGGATACACACATGTACCCATGACTGGTAGGATAATTCTATCACATCTTGATGAAATAATTTTATTCCAACACAACAATGACCTTTTTTGTCCAGGAAACCACATGTATAATGTCCATTATACACTTGAATGACCATTATACAAAAATGACTCGCGGGACAAAAGCTGCCTCATGGAATTAAACTATCATATGTCATCCTATCTCATCCCTTTAAGTAGCACTGTCAAACGGGCCGGTGGCCCGCGGGCTGGCCCGTCCGCCCGCTTAAACAGACGGACTTGGGCCTTTGCTTGGCCAGCCCGTTCAATCGCGGGCCTATTTGGCCCGCCCCGTTTGGCCCGGGGGCTGGCCCTTTTTTTTTAATTTTATATTATTTAAATTTAGTATTTTTGTATTTTACTTCTAATTTCTAACTTGCACATGAAACATTTTTTTTTACATAATAAAAATATTAATAAATCAAATAATATTTTATGTCAATTAAGTCGTTTCTGCGTGTGAATACCCTATAACTATTGATAAAAAAAAAACTAGATGACAAATATTTAACATCATTACACATGAAACCTTACTAGTTTATAATATACTAGTAAATATAAGGATAAACAAACCAAAAAATATATAAGAGTGCGAATACCATAAAAAAAATAAATAAAACCCGCGGGCGGGCCAATTTGGCCTGCGGACTAATGCGGGCGGGCCATGGGCTATGGATTTCCCAGCCCATGAAAATGCGGGCCATTTTGACCCGCCCCGTTTGAACTGCAGGCCAGCGCGGGTTGGAGCGGGCCAGGCCGGAGCGGCCCGTTTGACAGTGCTACTTTTAAGTAAACGGAGCGTTTGAGGATTAGCCAAGGCACAGACCGGATTAATCTTATTCTGTTCTTTATATGCAGTTCCTTACGATTAAACATAGAAATCGGGTTTTTAACGAGATTTTCCTGAATTATCGCGAGAGGTTGAAGCTCATGAACTGAAGCGCTTTAACGAGCACCATACTTTTAACAAACCAGAAAGTGGATTTCTTCTACCTCGGAGAAAGTTCCAGAGAGAGAGAGAGAGAGAGAGAGAGAGAGAGTTTTTCAGTGTTCGAAAGAGACATTGAAATGGCGTCTGCTATCATGAAGTGGGTGGTCGACCCGAACCGCAACCCCCTCGCAGCTCTTCACATGAAAACACTGTCCAATCGCCTGAGGAAATACGGTACGTTTCGTGTATATAAAAGAACGCGCGTTCTGTGCGGCTGTTATGTCATCTGACCTTTTTTCTTTTGTTTATTGTGATTCGAGAAATTAGGTCTTCGATATGACGATCTATACGACCCAATGTACGATTTGGATGTGAAGGAGGCTCTGAATCGGCTGCCCCGACAGGTTGTCGATGCCAGGAATCAGCGCCTCAAGCGCGCTCTAGACCTCTCCATGAAGCACGCCTACCTTCCCGAAGATCTCCAGGTATTCATTTACAATGTTATGGGTGTGCTTCGTGGTGCTTGAAGCCCTAATTCTTGTTATGTGCTGAAAGAATTAGGGAAATTTTGCAACTTGTATAACATGTGTTGCGGATTTGGGTGTTTATTTTGCTATTGGTCTCTATAGGTACTGAGCTTTTTTATTTATTTAGTGTGTG